ACATGGACTAATTCCGGATAAAAAAATTAAAAGGAGTATATTCATTGTTGAAACGAACTGCGTTTCATCTTTTTATTTAACATTTTTGATATCAATAACATTCGATAAATGTTTACCTCGTAAGTTGTCATACATTCAAGACTTATGATTGCCATATCAAGTATGCACATATGGCCAATAAGAGACTGACCAGTTGCAGTCCTAACCATCAATGAGAAGATTCAAACAAACAATACTAAGTGAATTCATACCAAGATTTGTTTTAAATAATACAAGTTTAAGGACAAGTCAACTAATGCTTTGAATATGACAGAATCAACAAAACAAATCATAATAATAATAATAATAATAATAAGCCATTTCATGAATTATTAATGTAATCACTAGAACAAATAATACAACTACTGTCATATAGGTTTTTATTATAATCATAGCTTTCCGGTTATTATTTATCATAAGTTATTAATTATTCAAAGAACAGTAGGTATCATTACCATGTTTTGATTTGATAATTTTGAATAATAGAAATCAAGAGTCAATTGAAGCTAGATCATCATGGAAAATCTGGAAGAACTGGATGGCCGTTTCATCCTATTATGAGACTCCTCATCAGTGTGTATCCATGATCCTGCCTCGCGAGATTTGAGCTTATGATTTCTACTCTGAAAATACTGAAATATCCACAAAACCCCTTCTGATCTATAATCATATGCTCACAAGTGACTGACTTCAAGATATATTTCCTGGACTTCTAGTGAGGAACAGTAACCAGTGGAGTTCAACCACGTCCGTTGTAGAGATATCAGGCCACTGAAGACAATTGGTGAACGATTGCTCAATTTTGTGGATAGGTTGAAGTTAGACATTTACACCACTGGATGCCGGTTCAGTGGTCTAGAGGTTAAGTGCTCTGGAGAGAGAATGGTAGGTCCTGGGTTCGAATCTCGAGGGACAGGATCGTGGATGCGCACTGCTGTGGAGTCCGACAATAGGAAGAAATGGCCGTCCAGTGCTTCCAGATTTTTTATGATGATCTAGCTTAAATTGACTCATGATTTCTACTATGAAAATACTGAAATCTCCACAAAACCCCTTCTGAATTTTGAATAAATTGAGCATTGGGTAGATTGTTTTAAATAAAAATAATGTATTTGTAATATCCTAATGAGTAGGAAAATTAGATTTTCTGAAGTTTCGTGACTTAGTGAAAGCCACTTCTTCAGAGAATAAATAACCAAATCAAAATTAATCCAAGTTTCAATAGTACAATGGAACAACATGAATATTGTGTGATCAATCAAGATAACAGGTCTGAATAAATCAATGTCATGTAATTTCGGTCATGGTGGTTCATAAGCGACATGTATACCACATTGTGTGTGTGCACTGTTAAGAATGAAAATTGTGTGACTTTTATAATGACAAAGGATAGAGTTTAATTTGTAAGGTATTAGTGTGAATTGTAAATAATATCAGACTAGGTGACTAGGATACATTGTTCAAGTAGGACGTATGGTAACGCCTTCCTTTCTATTGAGAGCAGTAAGATTAAGCATTATATGGAACGTTTCAGCTACTCTCCTTTCTTTGTAATCGGAAAAACCTTTTTGTAATATTTTGGTATTTTTGAAATCAATTTGATGATTTTAAGTAAAGATGGAAAGTGGCTAGCAGTGAAATCAAGGACGCGCGTTCCGTCCTATTTGGGACTCGTCACCAGAATATATATATATATATATATATATATATATATATACATGTCAATCAATGCGAAGATCAAAATTTTCGATACAAATGTCAAGACAGTTCTAGTGTATGAGGCGGAAACGTGGAAAACTACGAAAGTCATCATCAAGAAGATACAAGTGTTTATTAACAGTTGTCTACGCAAGATACTTCGGATCCATCGGCTACACACTATCAGCAACAACCTTCTATGGGAGAGAACATACCAGTGGAGGAAGAAATCAGGAAGAAGCTCTGGAAGTGGATAGGACACACAATGAGGAAACCACCCAACTGCGTCACAAGACAAGCCCTCACAAAGAATCCTGAAGGCCAAAGGAGAAGAAGAAGATCAAAGAACACATTACTCCGAGAAATGGAGAGAGACATGAGAAGAATGAACAACAGTTGAATAGAACTAGAAAGAAAGACCGAGGATAGACTGTGTTGAAGAATGCTAGTCGGCGGCCTATGTTCCATTTGGGGGGGGAGGGTAACAGGCTTAAGTAAATAAGTAAGATAGAAGATATGTAACATCATTTTATGATTACTAAAAGTTACACTAAATTGATTAAAAGTTGTTTTACTTATTCCAGTACATAATAAAACCATTCCAATCTACATTACAAACTTACATTGTTTATATATGGAAGATTGTAAATATAAATATTTCAATGGAAAGAATATAAATGTTAACAGTAAATTAATCTGAACTAATCATAATGATTTAATAAGTAAGTTAATTTATTGAATGTTGATGTGAATGATAAAAAAAATTGACCTAATAATCTGATAAGTTGAACTAGAATATTCTGTTTTAAAAAAATCTAAGCTAAGATAAATGAAGCATTTTATTTCTTGGATTCATTCATGTTAAACTAATGATCAATTCTCTGAGATGGTTAGTTAAGTTGTAGTAGTTTTATTGTTCTTCTGAATGACATCATCAGTATAAATTTTAAGTAGAAATGTAGGACTCGAATTTCTCTACATATAACTTACAGCTTGTCCTATAGACCATGATTTTGGTACATTTATACTTATCATTTCCATTTATTTAATTAAATTTATTTATTTATTTAAACAAATAAATGCCCGCAAATGCTCTGGTACGGCCGAGAGTGAGAAGAGTTAGCTTTCCCGCTCTCACATGGTCACGCGTATATAGCCTCTGACAGGGAAGTCCTACTCACTGCCTTCTCGTGACATTACTGTTGTTTATGAAACTGAGAGTGATGTGAACCGCGAAACAAGAAGCCTTAACAAACTATGAAAGCTATTTTTGGGGATGTTATTTCATTTAATTCAGAGCTTGTAAAACTGTAACATTTACTTTTGCCCCTAGTCTATTCTACAGGTCATGAGCTTTCGTTTGATGTATGATTCACTGCCATACCATCTTCTGTTCCAAAGCTATTGTAATTTAGACGTAACCTTTTGTACTCTATTTTCTACTCTAATCCCCCAGTTTTGGACATAATTGTATTTTTCTAATTATTGTGCGTTGTGGTCAAGTTATTCGTCAATTTATTCATGTATCTTTTCACCATAATCTGAATTGGGAATTCGAGTGCTAGGTCGGGATTGGAATAAGGCGGTTAGTGTTCCAGTTGTCCTTGTCTTCTCTCTCTCTCTCTCTCGCGTGCTTGCCAGCCAATCAGGGATAGAATACTTTACGTCTCTCTACCTCCACTTCGAACTCACGCATACTAGCCTCAAGGTTAAGCCAAATAGCCTATCGGGTCAAGGTCTTAATCTACATTAGACAAGTCATACTCGGCACTAAAGTGGGTAGACAGATTCAAGGACGTAACAGAGAGGACGAAAAGCGAATGTCTGCCACTTTAACCGGGCTTGTGGGGGAGTTTGAAAATCCTGATTCCAAACCAATGATGCGAATGGACTCCAGTATCCTGAGGGAACAAATGGCGTATGAATCAATCGTTGGTCACCGGTTACCATGGGACTGCATCTCCTCACGATGCTTCCCTGCCTTGTGGATCAGATCTTAAGGTCAAAAGTTCCGGTTGTGGCCCCCTAAGAAAACCAGCTGCTTCACTTTGGATACCTGGGCAGTATCACATAAATCAAATGAGATTTGTGTGGTGCATATATATCTGGTGCTCCCTTGTACCAATATTTATGTATTCAAATAAATAAATAATATTTAATTAAATACGTGCTATATTTATCAATCATCAGCTTTAATAAGTCGTTCACTTAGCTAACCATATCTTTTAATCTACAGAAAAATTTATATTCATACGACTTGGATGAGTGTTATTTGTTTTCTGTACGTCAGTAATTAAAGTAATTATACATTAGTTTTACGATATTTTAATGATAAGGTTAATTGCATTTATGATTCGTAAGGTTATATTTGATATCGAAATTTCATTATATCAAAACTATAAGCAAAGATGGATAGTGGCTAGCAGTGAAATCAAGGACGCGCGTTTCGTCCGATTTGGGACTCGTCAGTTGGATGTACCTTCATCTCGCAGGGGATGTTCATTCTGGGACTCGAACCTAGTACCTTTTGCTTCAAACGCCATCGCGTTATCCACCTAGCTACTGAGTCCTCATAGCCACTTGCTTATAATGCTTGTGAATTAAGGCAATATCGAGGCAATACGCAGAGTATGCACATATGCCAATAAGAGACTGATCAATTTCAGTCCTAAACATCAATGGTAAGATTCAATACTAAGTGAATATCAAAACTATGTTTTGAAAAATCTTTAATTAAAAGGATTTGCTTTTCCTTTTTTTAGAATAATTATCGAGTTAAACCAGAATTTAAATGAAAGAAAATGTTTAGATCAGTAAATGAAATAACCCATTGTATCATTAAATAAAAATAAAGACAATTTAAGGAAGGAAATTTTGCTTTTCGATAAAATCATATTTTCTTCTTCCTATCTGTCAACTGGACAACTGTCGGACCCGTAAATTATTTTCGTCTTTATATTTTTTTCTTACCCCTTGATTATTGCTTAACCTCATTTGATAATATGAGTCTCCAATCAATTTATGATGTAATCAGAAGGGTTTTTCTGGACATTTCAGTATTTTCATAGCTGAAATCATGGGTTAAGTGTTCTGGAGCGAGACTGGTGGGTTCTGGGTTCGAATCTCGCGAGGTGGGATCGTGGATGCTAATTTAATCATTTGCGTATCCACTAAAATCAGAATTATGGTAATACTTTCACACCTAACCAATCAAAGATAATTTAAACAAGATAAATCATTTCAAACATATCTTATTTACTTACGTCTGTTAGCCTTCGCCGAGGAGCATAGGCCGCACACCAGCATTCTCTATCCAACTCTGTCCTGGGCAATCCTTTCCAGTTCTTTTCACTTGTTATTTACCCTTTTCATATCTGTTTATATTTCCTGACCTAATGTATTCTTTGGCCTTCCTTTTTTCCGTTTACATTCAGGGTTTCAAGTTAAGGCTTACCTCGCAATGTCGTTTGGTGATTTCCGTAATGTATGTCCCATCCACTTTCAACATCTTTTCCTAATTTCCTCTTCAGACAGAACCTGGTTTGTCCTCTCCTACAATAGGCTGCTGCTGATGGTTCCCGAGAAACGGACATTGAGTATCTTGCATAGACATCTGTTTATAAATACTTGTACCTTTTTGACGATGGTTGTAGTAGATCTTCACATTTCAGCTCCATACAGTAGAGCTGTCTAGACGTTCGTATTGATGATTCTGACTTTGAAATTAATTGACAATTGTTTTGAGTTCCATATGTTCTTCAATTGTAGAAATGCGGTCCTTGCTTTGCCAATCCTCGCCTTTTTTACATCTGCATCAGATCCTCCTTGTTCATCAATGATGCTTCCATTTCAAACATATCAGTAAGTTAATATTCAACAGTTTATAATAATTTAACCAGTAAAATGTAGATACACTTACATAACTTATTTTTTGGATTAAGTTTATAATGACCCATTAACAGAACTATAATTACGTTGTTCAAGAGTTGATCTCGTTTTCAACTTTCGATATACATTCTCAGGAAAGTGAACTTATCAACTATTTGTTATTATTCCACAACTATTTGTCTATGGCTAAAGAGCATGCTCCGAAATAAAGTTATATTTGAATGTACCAAAATGTTAAAAACAAATTCAGTGTTGGGAATAACTTTGATAAAGAGAATAGATACTGAACTTTATATAGTTAAGATCATGAGTTAATTGAAGCTAAACAACCATGGAAAACCTGGAAGCACTGGACAATCGTTTCGTCCCATTGTGTGACCCCTCAGTAGTGCGCACCCACGATCCCGCATTCGCGAGATTCGAACCCAGGACCTATCAGTCTCGCGCCAGAGCACTTAACCTCTAGACCACTGAACTGGCATCCAACGGTGTTAATGTCTAACTTCAACCAATCTACGAACTGAACTAATTACTTGATATTTTAAACACCAGTTAGTTAAACTAAAAAAATGTTCTTTTATTATACATACTTATTGTATATTGTACAATTATGTATTCTAATTTTCATTAACCTTACAATTTAGTTGACAAAAGAATTTTAATTAAATAAGTAGTCAATATAGTCCCATGAGATATGAAATAGATACGTTTTTTTTAAATGACTTAAATTATTGATTCGGTTTTTCTTTTTAACGCCTTTATTTTGTTTCAATTAATTTTATTGGGTCATTTAAGTTTATGATAATAAAATTGTGAAAATACAGAAAAATTAAGGAAATAATGTTATTATCAAAATGGTGATTTGTAGAGATTGCAGTAATTTTAATAGTTGAATTCATGGGTTGATCTAAGCTAGTGACTAGTTTCAAGATGGATTACCTGAAGTTCTAGTGAGAAGCAGTGACCAGTGGAATTTAATCCGTATCGAGTGGAGACAGTTATTCACCTTAGATAATGGGTGGAAGGTTACACAAGATCGACGTTAACACCGTTGCGTCCCAGCTCAGTGGTCTAGATGTTAGGCGTTCGCGCGCCAGATCAAAGGTCCCGGGTTCGAGTCTCACATACGGCATAATGTATACTAGGTTGAAACAGTCATCCAGTGTTTCTAGATTTTCAATGGTGATTTAGCTTAGGCTGACTCATGAATTCAACTGTTATAATAATATTATCATAAAAATTAATTTAAACTCAAAAATAGTAAACATCATGGTTATACATTTAAAATATTTGATTCCACTTGACAATAGGGAGTTAGGTTCCAGGAAAAGTAATAAATTCATAACTATATTACCTAGTAAATACTATTTTGGAATCGCTGTAGTTTCTGAGCTGGATCGATTAGTTTAAAAGCCTTCATTGTTCTACTAAGAAACACTAACATATATTTTTCAACATCCTCATACTGAGCTACAAATTTTTTCCATCATCTTAAGATAAATGGTACTTAAAATGTTGATGTGTATTAAACAACAATAACATACTATGGATTAAGGAGAAATTTTGAGAGACCATATTACATAACAGTGAAATGGTCAAATGATCATGTCGATTTTCTCGTCACAAGTGAAACAAACAACAGTTGGTGAAGCTATGTAAGTTAAATCAATAATAAGAGTTTTTTTAAACATTTTATATAATAATAGTGTTATATCCCGATAAGAATAGTGAACGGTAACTTTGGGGATCCGTTTATGGACCAATACTGTGTGTATATTTTTATTGTATAATTGTTAAGTAAATAAACTATTCATATTCGCATCCCTCTTATTATAAGCTTTGTTTTGACCTATGAACTATTAATGTACCATTCCTGAGTTATATCCAGTTTATTAATTACTGTTCCCCCGATTCACAGTCACACTTGGCTAAATCTTGTACACATGTTATTTTCTATTTGATGGTACGATGTGGTTTGTTTGATTGGTATATAAACCCATTATGTTTGAGAATAATGATTCATATTGCAGAGGATGTTATTGGTGTTCTAGACTTAACTGGCTGGGCGACTCAGATAGTAGGGTCGATACGCACTCTAGACTGCGCGTACGGTTTTTCGTGTATCATTGTTCCAATCGATAATTCGCTGCTCTCTGGGCACCCACTCGGCCACAAGTTATAACAAATAGTTAAATAGTGATATCTTTAACCAGAAGTCCGAATGAGAATATCATTATCTCATTGACTTACATGTATGATTTAGATATATTACAACAACTACTAACTATTTCATACCCTGATGACTATAAGTACACTAGATATAAATGAATACCAATGTATAACACTTTGAGATAACTGACAGTAACAAATGTCAATCACTACATAAAAAACAAACATTCGAACAAAACAGGTTTAAAGTTACCTATTCCTGAATTAACTGCAATTACAAGCATTCATTTACAAGCTCACCCTAGAAAGATTACCTGATGAATTGCTACATTCCTAATATACTAAATGATAAACTTTAGACAGTTAATCATCATTACAGAATAACCTACTGAAATCACTATAAATGACCTATGTAGCTAATCTATAACAGGAAACAATCATATTTAAAAATATGAATTTCAGTCACATAATTACTCTAAATTCTTCCGGTTCCCGTTTTAAAATCTGTCATTCGTAACGTTTTAAATAATATAGATCAATGAATAGAAGTGAAAAAAAAGCTATGATAACCTTTGAAAGATCTACCACATCACTGTGACCTTTCTTTCCATTATGTTAAAAAAATAAAAAAATCTGTTTTCACTTCTTTATAAAGGTCGAAATCATACTTAATATACCTAAATAACTCTTATTCATTTGTCTATGTTGTTTAAATGAAAGATTTCAAGTTAGGCTTAATACTTATATTTACTTCGTTGACTTTTATTTTTACTAACATTCTGATTACACAATCACTAAATATATATAGTTATTCAATATTAACTCTTAGTTAAATATACATTTGGTTTAATTCACTTGGTATTGTTTACTTGAATCTACCCATTGATGTTTAGGACTCTGATATGCTTGAGCTAATTCGATTTTTTAAGTAAACGAACGAAGGTCAAAGATACAGTGACACGATAGACTAATCTAATCCGTTGTTTTAGGCTCCGCTAACTAGAGGAAGACGTCCAAGGCGAAGTTGGGGAATATATATTTCGTAAGCGGCCGAGTACAAGCAAATCATAAAGAGAAAAACTCAAACGTATATATACAGCGATAAATTGTCCTTGGGCATCATTACAAAATAGCACACTCAAAGATACAACGGACCAATAGCATTTAAGACATTTTACAAGTGGGAAATTCGACTCGAAGCTGAAAAGAGCGCTTTTGGCACGAAAACAAAGAAATTAAATTTTCAAAATAAAATTACAAAATTAAGCCATTTACCAAGTAAGTTCTGGGGATTTGACATCCCCAACAGACTCCAGTTGATCAGTCTCATATTGGGATATATACATACTGTATGAACTGCCTCGATATTGCCTCAATTCACAAGCATTCTAAGCAAAGATGGACAGTAGCTAGCAGTGGAATCCAGGACATGCGTTTCGTCTTATGTGAGACTCATCATCTGGATGTACCTTCATCTCAGAGTTGATGTTCACTCTGGGAGTCAAACCCAGTACCGTTCACTTCAAACGGCATAGTGTTACCATTTAGCTACTGAGTCCTGATAGCCACTGATCAATTGCAGTCCTAAACATCAATGAGAAGATTTAAGTAAATAACACCAAGTGAATTTAAACGTCTCTCCATTGCATAGGCTAGTGGATATCAGGAATCAGTAGCTAAATGGATAACTTAATGGAGCTGGAAGCAAAAGCTACCGAGTTCGAGTCTCAGAGTAAAAACCAACTCTAAGATGAAGTTACATTCAGCTGACGAGTCCCAAATAAAATGAAACGTGTGTCCTGGATTCCACTGCTAGCCACTATCCATCTTTGCTTATACATTTCTTGTACCTAGATTAACAGAATAAAATGAGTAAATAAATTTTGTCTGACTTATATCTTTGGAATCATTATACGATATTTATGATAAATGTCTACGTATGTACTTGGTATTTTAAAGTCAATGTTTATAATATTTGCAGGAATATTGCCTAGTGTCTCATTTTGTACAATGACAAAACCTGAAATCCCATTTTTTTTATAGCCACATATAACTTCAAATACATAATTGCTTATACATTGTCTAACAAAACAGCTATACTTTAAACCATAACTATTAGTAGAACATTTCTTTCTTTCTTCCTGTCTTAGTTTAAATCTCTTTAATGAAAACGAAACCCTGGTTTTTTAATGTGAGTTTTGTTATCCTGATAATTTTGATGGTGTAACCACAATATCATCAAATAAGTATCCAAGTTATTTAAAAAATTAAAAAAAAAAGAGAAGATGATCTTCTTGTTTACTTCACAGCATGAACAATAATTCTTGGCTAGACAAATATCACTAACATGATTATGTTTTTATCCATATAATGTAATGTCAAACATTCATCTGATATAACTTTGATTTGATCCGATCATTTTGATCTAATACTGTAACTTATTTGATTAACTGTTAGTTTTGATTAAAT